GCCGGAGGCGAGGGGGCGGGGACTGGAGCTAGAAGAGCCAGGCTTTGAGTTGAAGGCGGGAAAATGGCGGATTCGTCGGTACGCGGCGTTGGGTGAGTAGAGGCGCCGCGAGTCTGGATTTTGTAGGTGCCAGCAGGAAAGCCATGGTCGAGGGCTGGGGGCAGAGGGACAGCAGAGTTAGGAAACGAGGGGTCTCTCGGGATGAGTCCACACATGATCCCTCTAGAAACCATCTAGGACGCGCAGGATCCGGGAGGCCCGGCGTGAGGTCTCTGCGCATGTTCGGAGCGCAGGCTCTGGAGAAGACCGCAAGTTCGAGTCCCAGATGTCCCGCTTTGATCCAGAGCCCTCTTGGGCAAGTGGCTTAACGTCTCTGTGCCTGGCTTTCTTCCCCTGCGAAACAGGGCTGATGACATCGCACTCAATCTGTAGGCCTCCTGTGAGGCTTTAAAGCGCTTACAGCAGTGCTTGGCCTCTCACATTGCTCCTCCTGCATGGCTAGTTTGTGTTCCTGGAGTCTCCTCCTCTTCCAGCTCTTCCAAAATGGAAACCTGGGAGGCATTCCAGACTTTCCCACACCGCCCCCTGCCCCCAGCTGAGTTGTCAGCGATTCCTGCCTCACTGTCCCCTCTCACCTGTTATGTCAGGCTTCATTCTTTCTTTTTTTAATTTAAGGCAAAATGCACAGGACTTCAAATTCATCATTGTAAAGTGAGCAATTCCACAGCATGAAGACATTTGCAATGTTGTACAACCACCACTTCTGTCAAGCTCTAGAACATTCTCTTCAGCCCAGAAGGAAATCCTGTATCCATTAGTAGTCACTCTCCATTCTTCATCCATCTCAGTATGTTCCTGGCAACCACCAATCAGTTTTCTGTCACTATGGATTTGCCTGTTCTGAAAATTTCATGAAAATGGAATATGGCCTTTTATATCTGGCTTCTTTCACTCATCATGTTTTTGAAGTTCATTGTTTTAGTATGCATTAGGACTGCATTCCTTTTTTAAGGCCAAATAATATTCAGGCTTTCTTATTTTTTTCTTTTTTCTTTTTTAAAATTGAGATATAATTGACATACAACATTAGTTTAGGTGTACAGCACAGTGATTTAAGTTTGTGTATGTTGTGAAATGATCACCACAATTAAATCTATTTAACCTCTCACCATAGTTTTGTTTTTCTTGTGATGAGAACTTTAAAAATTTACTCTCATAGCACCTTTTAAATATGCAATACGGTATTATTACCTGTAGTCACCATGCTGTACATTGCATCTCCATGATTTATTTTATAATTGAAAGTTTGTATCTTTTGACCCCCTTCACCCATTTCACCCCACCTCCCTGCCCCTGGTAACTACCAATCCATTCTCTATGAGTTCAGTGTTTTGTTTTGAGATTCTACATATAGGTGAGATCATACAGTATTTTGTCTTTCTCAGTCTGATTTATCTCAGCATAATGTCGAAGTCCATCTATGTTGCAAATAGCAAGATATCCTTTTTGATGACTGAGTAGTATTCCATTATACATCTCATATATCACTGTATAGAATATATAACATATCTTACTCAGCAGTCCCCAACTTTTTTGGCACCAGGGACCGGTGCTCCTATGAGAATCTAAAGCCTGATGATCTGAGGTGAAGCTGAGGTGGTGATGCTAGCACTGGGGAGCGGCTGCAAATACAGAAGAAGCTTCACTTGCTCGCTGCTGCTTACCGCTTGCTGTGTGGCCCAGTTCCTAACAGGCCGTGGACTGCTTTGGATAAATACCCAGAAGTGGAATTGCTGGATCATGTCGTAGTTCTATTTTTAGTTTTTTGAGGAACTTTCAAACTGTTTTCCACAGTGGCTATACAAATTTACATTTCCACCAAAGTGCACAAGGGTTCCAACTTCTCCACATCCTTACCAACACTTGTTGTTTCTTGTCTTTTTGATAATAGCTATTCTAACAGGTGTGAGGAGGTGTCTCATTGCATTTCCACGATACTTAGTTATTTTTGATAGTTTTATGCAGCCTTCCAAGTTCCGTCTTCAGTCCCATGCTCCTGATCACCCATTCATCTTGCCGGGGGCTTTCAACCTTGACAATAGACATCTGAGGCTGGATCATCTCTGTGATGGGGGCCATCCTGTGTATCAGAGGGTGTTGAGCAGCATTTCTGACCTTGGCCCATTCCAATAGCATCCCCTTCTGTTATGACAATCACAGATGTCTTCAAATATTGCCAGATGTCTCATGGGAGTCATAATTGCCCTTGAGCGAGCACCCCTAAGTTATTCATATATAAGATATTTATCAAATGCCTCCTGTCTGCCAGGTTGTTATAGACTGATGTTTATGGTGCTTCCCCCTTCCCACCACCTTCTGCTCTCCCAAATTCATATGTTGGGGCCCTAAGCACCCCTTGTGGCTGTATTTGGAGATGTAGTCTCTATGGAAGTAATTAAAGCTAAGCGAAGTCATAAGGGTGGAGCCCTGATCTGAAAGGATTGGTGTCCTTATAAGAAGAGACATCAGAGAGCTTGCTGTGTGTTCTAGCTTGCTCTCCCTTCCGCCCGCTCTCTCCCCTTCTGCAGGAGGCCACCTACCTTACCTGTACCTTGATCTTAGAATGTCGTTTAAGTCTCATTTTGTGATGGCAGCTTGAGCAGATGTATACATAGGCACTGGAGAATGGTGAGGAGCATCCTGGTCCCTGTCCTTCTGGAGCCTTAGAGCCTGTCTTCTTCCCAGCTGTCAGTGGTCTTCATGAAACATGGCTGACAGTGTTCATTTCCTATAGCCTGAGAGTGAGCTGAAAATGGTTTGTACATCTTTAAATGGTTGATAAAAACATCAATAGTAGAAGAATGCTTTGTGACTCATGAAAATTGTATGAAATTCAAATGTCACTGTGTATAAATGAAGTTTTATTGGAACATAGTCACGCCCATTTCTCTCTGCATCATCCATGGCTGCTTCGTGTTCCAAAGACAAGGTCGAGTAGTTGTGACTGCAAACACATAGCCCACAGAGCTGAGAATATTTACTGTCTGGGCTGTATTTAGCTCTGGGCTATAGGACCAGGTCTGAGCCCTTAAGTTAGGCTTTCAGAACTGCCAGCCTGGCTTAGCGTTCTCTCCTGATCCCATCTCTCTGTCTGCGTTCTCCAGCTAAGCCATAGGGATGATCAATTTCTATTTCCACATCATTCTTCTCTGCCTCTGTGCCCTTGGCCTTGTTGATCCCTGGCTTAGAACATCCTTCCCCTTGTACAAGCAAAAGACGGTTTGTTGCCCCTTTACTTGTCTGGGGCACCCTTCACACATGCCCGACAGGGAAATGCTGCTCTTCCCTCTCACGGAAGGAGTTCCATCTCTCGTTCACTGCGTATCCCCAGCAGCAAACAGCAGGCACATAACTGCTTGCTGAATTAATGAACCTGTGACATAAGTTGAGATCTTTGAGGCTTGGCAAATATGCTCGATCTTCTCACTCTGGGCCCTTCTCAGTTCAGGCGTTGGGCTATGCTGTGTCATCCCAGGTGACAGGGCTCCATGTCTCTCTTCCTGTCAAGGTGGCCCAGAGATCAGAAGCCCAGGCTTCGCCCTGGCCTCCCTCAGTTTCAATTACATTAACAAGACTCCCTCTCTCTTTTAGGAAGCCTTCCTCAGGGGGTCCAAGTACTCCTAGTGGCGCTAAGGCGAAAGGAAGAAGAACACAAGGTGAGTCAAGTTAGAATCCACATTATTTTCTAGTAAGTGCCGTTGCGGGAGAAAAATCAGAGCAGAGCAGGGGAATGACTTTATCTTCTTCCTGTCACACCTTGGGGGATTTCAAGTCTGGTCACCGAACTCTGCCTGCAGGCTCTGCCTGTATGGCAGGGCCCGGTGGGGTTCATCTAGAGCAGTGGGCCCTTCTAGCACTGGGGGTCACAGGCTATGCTCAGGACTTGTCACTTGGAAGTGTAGGTGAGGAGAATGTGAGTTAAGTTCATTATCAAACAGAAATTTCCTAAGTTTCCTCTGTGTCAGCGCATCAGTCCTTTGGGAGTGCCCCCATGTCCCATGTCCACCTGAAGGTCTAGGGTCACTGTGAGCAGCCCTCCTTGACTCATGGCAGTACCCAGTTTGGTGGCAGACTCAAGCCTCTGAAATGATGAAGTATTTTCCTAAAGTGTGCTGTGTGGCAGAGCACGTCTCAGAGAACTTAGAGCAGAATCGTGTCTCTAACATCTCTTCTATTTTACACATGGTCTGGTTCTCGAACACATTATATCCTTCGCTATAACATTGTTGTTGTGGAAAACCCACCACTGTTTAAAACAAACAGGTGCATTCTAGTTTTCTGGAAACCTGAAACTGTTTTTCAACTGTCCCAGGAGCTCAGAGCCTTGGCTCCTTCCTAGGTGTGAAGACCCTTTGCTGACAGTGTTAGAAAGACCCAGCGTAGGATGGTCTTTTCCCATTTGGAACCGGTGGTGTCCTTCGCCCCAACCTCTTACCTTCACAGTGGCTTGACTCTCCCCCAGACCCTGCCCAGTCCTGGCTTCAACCCCAGGGACCTCCTGCCTGAGCCCACTCTCCCTGTAGGCATGGTTCTTCCCCGCCCGGGGCACGCTCAGGGCAACCACTGCCTCTATGGCCTGTGCCAGGTTCCCCGTTAACTGGATACGCCTCCTTTCAGGGTGGCGGCTGCAACCCCAATCTCCAGTGGAAGATAAAAACCTTGGTGTGAAGATAGGATTGAAATCAGTCTTGTTTAACTGAACTGTGGGGCCCTGTGACGTTGACCATGTTGCTCTCCCTGAGTAAAAAGGGAGACCCTGAGTGCTAGTGGCACCTGGAAGAAGTGTGGAATCGTGCATTGGATGCATCGTTGAGCACCTGCTCTCTGCAAGTGGCAGAATGCAGCAACCCAAACAGTCATGAGTCCCTGCTCTCAGGGAGCAGGCTGTCTGGGACACAGGTGGTGCCACTAGTGGAGAAGTAAAGAGACCCAGGGTGTGGAGGACAGTGACAGATGCTGTGGATAAAACAGCAGGATAGGGGAGCTTCCAGGTCCAAAGGAGGTGCTGGGCTGAGCAGAGCCAGGAAGAGGGGCAGGCGTGGAAGCTGCTGCTGGTTGGAGATCGTGGTAATGGAGTGAGTGAGGGGGCTGAGGAGGGGAGAGGTCAGAGGGGTGCCCTGAGTTGTGGTGCGGGATCTGCAAGGTGCCTGGAAGAGCTCAGGCTTCACCAGCTGGTGGACTGGCAAGACAGCCTGTTGTCGGCTGCCAGGGGGACAGCCAGCCTAGAGGCCTGCAGGATGTTTCAGGAGGAAGGAGCAGGTGAGCACTGCACCCAGTGCTGCTGATGGCTCGGGATGAAGACTAAGAATGCCTGGTGGGCTTTAGAGCAGGGAGCTCTCAGTGATCTTGTGGAAATGAGTTTCTTCTGTGCAGTGGTGGGTATGAGAGCTGGGGTGGGGGATGGGAAGAGGGATTCAAGGGAAGAGGGAAGTGTGGAGGAGGAAGCAGAGAAATGGGGGTGAGTCTGAGGGGTTGGAAAGGAATTAACAGTGTGACTGTTGGAGAGAGGAGCGGGTGGTGGGGGGAGGGGTTGCCAAGGCAGTTTTATTGTGGGGTGAGAGTTGGTGCTAACACCCAGAGTGGGTCTTTGCTTTACCCCAGAGCACAGAGGTCCGTCCATGTGGCGAGGCCAGGATACAGCTCGGAGGCTGGGAGGTGTCTGGATGCCAAGGAAGAGGGGTCTCTTGGGGCCACTGCTGCCTTTCCAGGGAAGTAGGAGACAGGTGCCCAGCTGACCAGAGGGATGGGCCCAGGGGAGCAGAGATGTGGGATGGTCTAGGAGGGGATGGGGGACAGAACAGAGGACTGTGGGTGATCACTGGGGCTGCAGCAAGAGCCCATGGAAGCTGGGAGGACAGATATGGTATTCTCCATCCACATTCAATGCCCCAGGGGCAGGAGTGGAAGGGGGGCCTGCGGCTGAGCTGTCTCAAGGGATACTATGTGTCTGAGAAGGGCCTTGGCACTGAGCATGTCCAGGGGAGCTGTCCTGAGCTAGGAGAGGAGGGGTGAGGGGACATGAAAGGATGTACCATCAGTGGGTCAGAGACAGTGGGTGAAGTAGTGGTTGGGGTCATGACTCTGGGGAGTGAACTGGGGACGAAGGAGGAGGCAAACAGGTGGCATTCTGTGGAAGGTCTTTCTTCCTTTCCCTGTCTGGCCCCTGAGTCCCTTTTCTCCTTTGACCTTCGGAGCATAGTCCTTGGTCTTTCTTGACCATAGCTCCTGTGGATCTCGGTGGCTCTGCCCCAAGCCCAGGGACTTGCACATAGTAGGTATCCCATACATGTTTTTGCATACAGTAGGAGTTCTAACATGTTTTTGCATGCTGTAGTTATTTCATAAATGTTCTTGCACACAGTAGGTATCTCATACATGTTTGGCATACAGTAGGTGTTCTAACATGTTTTCTCATACGGTAGGTATCCCATAAATGTTCTTGCTGAAGGACAGGGTTGGAGAGGAGCAAGGGGAGCATCTCTCCTGTTCCTGCTGTTGATCAGTGAGGGCCGATGGCACCCGGCTCTGGGGGAGGTGGTGCGAGTCCTTAGTGCATAGTGGGTCTTCACACACCCATTGCAGTTTTTGTTATAAACTAACAGTATGTCCCTCACAGGTGGAAAAGTGGTTGAGTCCCGATACTTGCAGTATGAGAAGAAAACCACCAAAAAGGTAACACATAATGTACGTTTGAAACAGCTCTGAGGCAGTTTTGATGAACTTGGAATTCTCTTGAGCCAGGCAGAAAGAACCTGCTTCTGAAGGCAGCATTTTGGGGACTTTGCCCTGTTGCCTTTGAAGTCATCCCACCCTTTATACCAAGTCCTACGTCTCTATTTTGAGTGGCCAATTGCTTTGACAATTCCTTTTGCAAAGCAGTTATCTCTCTTGATACCTAAAATTGTTTCTGTCTTTCGACCTTATAATTCCTTTTCTGGATTCTGTCCTGAAGCAGTTCTGTTGAGTGTCCAGCACACAATCCCTGGCCTTGGCTGGTATTTAAAAAAAAAACACCTGCAGGGCTTTAGAGAGCTGCTATGGGAAAAACAATGTGCCTGAATCACCTAGTGTTAGAGGAAGAGTTTTATGAACTACCTGTAGCCAGCCACACCATGAAAATTATGAAACCACTGAAAACGATGGAACAAAACACTGAACATCAGAGCATGCTTTGTCTGACGCTTAATGAAAACAATTAGTACGTTACCCAATTATGTGTTTTGTTTCAGTGCGTACGTACTGAAAATGTGAGGTGAAGGTCACGTTACCAAATCACTGTTTGTGGTAAAACCTAGTTAAATATTCATTTCTGCTGGTTTTTTTTTTTTTTTTTTGGTTTACTCTAGATAGGGTGAATGGCAGGTTCGTAAAAATGTAACTTAAGATCTATCCTGAGGAAAAAAGATAGCTTTGTACAAATTGTTCGAAATGCTTCTGGTAGTGATTTTCTTAAATGGGCTTTATTTTTGTAAAGCAGTTGTAGTTTCACAGCAAAATTGAGTGGAAAGTATAGAGATTTCTCATATACCCCCTCCCCCTACACTTGCGTATCCTCCCCAACTATCAATATCCTGCACCAGAGTGGTGCGTGTTTGCAGTCAGTAAACCTATGTAGACACACTATCACCCAGAATCCGTGATTTACAGTATTGAAGTAATTTTCAACAAAGAATCATAATCCACACACACTTCATAATTTTAATGTTGCCTTTCAAACTTGGTTATAGCGCCCCTGTGTGTCTATATGCTATATGTAGTATTTGGATCTTTAATAAGAGTTTTTCATTTTTTTCATCTTTTAAATTAAGGTATGGTAAATCCTCACTTAACATCGTCAATAGGTTCTTGGAACTGCAGTAAAATGATGTATAAAGAAACCAATTTTACCACAGACTAATTGATATAAACAAGAGTTAAGTTTCTATGGCATCTCATCAATGTTATAAAGAAATATTATTTGAGGACCTGCTGCATAATTTACATGGAGAAACGTGTCACTCTTTTCAACATCCAGTTCTGCGAGTTTGACAAACACATTCAGTTATGGACCCACCACAATTGAGATACAGAACGATCTGTCACCCCCAAATCCCCTTGTGCTCTCATGGAGCTGGCCCCTCCTCACCCCATCAACCCTGATCTGTTTTCTGTACCTGTCTGTAGTTTTGCCTTTTCCAGAAGGCCTATTGTCACACAATAGGCCTTGTATCTTCCTTCTTTCATGTGAAGAGCACATGGAGGTCCCTCCCTGCCATTGCCTATAACAGTGTTGGTTCCTTATGATGGCTAAAGAATATTCCACCCTATGGATGGTCCACAGGGTGCTCAGCTGGTACAGGATGTTTGGTTTGTCCCGTTTTTGGCAATTTTGAACAAAGCTACCTTAAACATTTCTGCGCAGGATCCATGTGGATGTGTCCTCATTTCTCCCAGGAGAGAAATTACTGGGTTATGGTGTGAGCATATGTTTGAGTGTGAGAAACTGCCCAACTGTTATCTGAAGTGGCTGCACCCACTTACGTTCCCACCAGCCACTGAGAGTTCCGGTTGGTAAGAGTGAAGCCATTCTAGTGGGTGTGAAGTGGTATCTCATAGTGGTTTTAATTGCATTTCCATAGAAACTGATGGTATTGAGCGTCTTTTTGTGTGCTTATTAGCCATTCCTATATCTTTGGTGATGTGTCCATTTGAATCTTTGGCCCATTTTTTCAGCAGGTTGTTTTGTCATTATTGAGTTTTGAGAGCCCTTTGTATATCTTGGATGCCACCCTGTATAGGAATTGGCAAATATTTTCTCCCATTATGTGGCTTGTTGTGTTTTCATTCTCTTAAGTGTCTTGTGAGGAGCAGAAGTCCTTGATTTTGATGAAGTCCGATTTATCAATTTCTCTTTTTATGGACTGTGCTTTTGGTGTCTCATCTAAGAAATCTTTTCCTAACCCAAGATCAAAAAGATATTCTCCTGTGTTTTCTTCTAGTTGTATAGTTTTAGGTTTTACATTAAGGTCTGTGATCCATTGTGAATTACTTTTTGTATCTGGTACGATGATGGAATTGAAGTTCTCTTGTTCCAGTACCATTTTTTAAAATGACTTTCATTTCCCTATTGTATTGTCTCATCACCTCTGTCAAAAACCAGTTACCCATATATGAATGCATAATTTCTGGCCTCTGTTCTTTTCCATTGTTCTATGCGTCTATCTGTAGGCCAGTTCCACACTGCTGAGATTATTGTTAGCTTTGTGGCAAGTCTTGAAATCAGGTAATGTGAATTCTCCTACTTTGTTCTTTTCTAAAACTATTTGACTCTTCTAATTCCTTTGCCTTTCCATATAAATTTTATTCTTAGCTTGACATTTTTTACCAAATCTGCTGGGATTGTGATTGTATTGAATGTATGCATTAGATTAGGGAGAATCTTAAAAATACCATCTTAAAAATACCAACTCTTTAAATCCACGATCATTGTGTAGGTCTTCGTTTACTTAGGTCTTCCTGGATTTCTTTCAACAGTGTTTTGTAGTCTCCAGCTCACAGACCTTCCCTGTGTTTTGTTAGGTTTATCCTTAAGTATTTGGTGTTTTTTAGTTCTATACATGATACTATCTTTTAATTTCAATTTCCAAAGTTATTTATTGCTAGAAATATGATTGATTTAAAAAACTTCGACCCTCTATTCTGCAACTTTGCTAAACTTACTAATTTTAGTAGCATTTTAAAATATGTTTTGGAATTTTCAACACGAAGAATCATGTCTGTAAGAAGCGAGTTTTATTTCTTCTTTTCCTGTTTGCCTTTTATTTCTTATTTTAGAACTTCCAGTACAAGGTCGAATAGGAGTGGCCTTTGTGCATTGAAGTATTCTTACTCTTTATGAGGTTTTTTTTCTTTTATATAATTATATTACAATGGCTTACTAGCTCTGTGGCTTGCTTGCATTTTTAAGTTTTGAAAATGAGTACCTGTACAAAAACTTTGTTTTTCCTGATGTCCAAAGTAATATATTCTGTCTATAAAACTGACAAATACTAAAATGTGTACAGAAAATCAGTTATCTGTAATCTGCTATATCAGAGATAATCATTGACAAACATTTTGGTGGCTTCCTGTGTTCCATGCACGTGAGGGTATCCTTTTTTACAAAATTAGTTTGTCCCGTACTTGCACAACTAAATGTTAGAACTCCTTAAGTCTGTCCCTTGCCTCAAAGTAAGAGCAGATGCAAACTGTGTGGACCACGAAGGGGCCTCTTCTCATGAAGGGGAGGTGTCTTGTCCCCTGAAAGTCATGTGTTTTCTAATAGGCTCCTGCAACAGATGCTTTAAAGACCAGTGAGAAGATGCCTGAAGGTGGAAGGAAACCCAACCCACTCCAGAAGAGCAAAGGTGCGTACCATTGGAGGGGGATGCGAAATGGCTGTGGAGCTCAGGAAACGATGAGCATGATGGTGAATTGTGTTTTCAAGTATGCTGAGTTAAAACTCCCTCTTTTCTCTCTCGGAAGCATTAGAAGAAAGAGCTAGGCAAGGAGTTTCAGTATAAAGACAGATTCGGGGCATCTGGGGAGCTGAAAGGGGATGGTGGGATAGCGGGGGGAGATCAGTTCCTTCCTCTGAGTTGTCATCGTGGCTCTTCTTGTGGCATCAGTTCCTTAATCACATGACTATTTCTCACCAGAGCTCTGAGACCAAGACTCCCAGAGAAGGCGTGAGGCCTCATCCTGCCTCTCACTGCCTTGGGTTGGGTCTTCCTTGTAATGGTCTCCCCATATCCTTTTTCTAGGAGCTGTCACCAAGATGATAAAAAATTTTAGTTTTCCTGATTATAGATGTGACATGTGTTCGATATAAAAAAAAAAATGGAAAATGTAGACCAGGAGGAGGAAGCTTCCTTACAGTCTGCCACTCAGACCATCACTATTGGTATATTTGGTGTTTAGTTCTAGGCACTGTGCTCATCTAGAAGTCTGGGTGGGGGCGCTCTCCCACTGTAGCACTTCATCTAGTGTCTCACGTGCCGTCCTCTTCAGTAAGAGTGGGCAGCTCTTTGTTTGCATGAGAGCAAGTCACAAAAAGCAAAACTTTCTTGGCCCCTACTCCCTTGTTCAAAATGGCGACAGCTTTGAGTCTCATAGGAAAAAATTAAATGTTCTTTTACAAGTTAGATTTCTTACTTTACTCTTCAAATCAAGGGTCAGAAACCATTTTCTGAGCCAGATGGCAAATATTTTAGGCTTTGCAAGACAGATAATTTCTGTTGCAAAGACTCAACTCTGCTGTTTGCAGTGTGAAAGTAGTCACAGACCATACATACACAAATGGGCATGTCTGTCCCAATAAAACTTTATTAACAAATACAGGAAGTGGGCCGGGTTTGGCCTGTGAGCTGTGTTTGCCGATCCTGATTTATATGTTTGTCAGAACTTGCACTGTTCCTTGACCCAGGTATGATTGAGAAGCAGGCACATGGAGCCCGAGCCAGGCTTCTGATGTTTTCTCAATGCAGTTAGTTGAGGGCGGTGCATGAATCTGAGAAAACTGGCATGGTCTGAGGGGTCAGAAACTGAGCCTGCCACATTAAAAAATCAGAGTTCTTACCTGGTGCAGTTCAGACCCCAGGGGACACCAGGCAGTGTCTGGAGATATTTTTGGTGGTTGTGATCGAGGGTGGAGGTATGCTACTTGAATCTATCTAGTAGAGGGAAGACAGGATGCTGCTCAACACCCTACAGGGCACAGGACAGCCCCACAACAAAGACTGACAAAGACTCATCCAGCCCCAAATGTGCTAAGGCTAAGACACCATGATACAAACATAACCATGACTTAGAGGGACTGCTCTTCGAACACCAAGTATACCAATAGGAAATGACTTTTTTTTAATGATCTTCTATACATGCAGTTTGCAAAACATTACTCTGTACAAAAGCAGGAGAAAGAGCTGAGGGCAGAATAAGTATATGGCATGTATTAGAGTCCAAAAAGGTTGCCCACTTCCTGACTTGGGTGTAGAGCATCCTGGTGATATGCTGACTGCCTGGGATTCTCCTTGGGCCCACAGAGAGCGGTGCAGTCTTCGGCAAAGGAGACCTGCAGTCTACATTGCTGGAAGGACACGGCACCGCCCCGCCAGACCTGGATCTCTCGGCCATTAATGGTAAATCGTTCATTTCACTTCTTTTTCCCAACCGGGGGTTGCATTGCATCTCCGGGGGCTTCCGAACTGTTCTCTTCTCACCTTAAAAACGATTTTCTTGGTCTTAGAGAAAAGTGTGCTCAGAAAGACCCCACAATTAGAAAAAACAATGTCAAAGAAAACCGAGTCGACATCATTTTCCGCCTCACGGAAAAAGAACCCAGTAAGTGTCTGAAGGGAGAGGGAAGCTGCTAATGGGTTGGATAAATCTGATTTAACTCCTGCCCTGTGCCAGATGTCACTCAAGGCCTAAGGCTCCAGGAACAAATGAGTCACCCATGCCTTTTAGAGCAAAAACCAGCCCATGTTCTTATATCATGTGTAGAATTTGTTTCTGCAAGTTCATGGACAGGAGTAGATAGAAATGTGGGATCCTGTGAAAAATGAGATTGGGGCCTTGTTTGCGGTGCCGTGCTAGGTAGGGAGCGTGCTGGGGCTGGCCCTGTCCCCCAGCAGGAGGATGCCCCAGCTGTGGCCCTACACGGGTAGGAGGCTCAAGTCCTGACTCCAGTGTGGCACCGAGTGGGCAGGTGCCCTCCAGCTGCCAGAGCATCTTCTCCCTTCTCACAGAGTGCCCAAACAGACTAAACGAGATGATAGAAACAGCAGGTTGTAATATAGTAGAGAGTTATCCAATTACTGAACTAAATAAAGTGTTTACGGGTTAGGGTTCTTTCTCTCCCAGGGGAGAGGGCTGGATTGACACCAGTTCCTTGGGAACCCAAAGTATCTTTTCCTTCTCCTCAAGGATCTTTTCGAAGCGATGGAAATAATGGAATCCCAAACTTTACTCCTGACTCTGCTGACTGTAAAGGTGACAATGGAACCATGTTCACATGTGATGGGTGGAAGGGTGGCCTCTGTCAGCCACAGAGATGGAGTTCCCTCTGGCCTCAGCTCTTGCTCTGCACTTAACAGATCGAGAACAGTCTTGCTGCATTTGAAGAAAAGGCGGAAAGGAATTTATTAATGATGTGCCAAGAGAAGGCGGAGCTCCAGAAGAAGGTCCATGAGCTGAAGAGCAACCTTCTCCTCTGTCAGAGGAAGCAGGAGCTGTTGGATGCCCTTGACGCTCAGGTCAGTTTTGACCATGGTGTCTGAGCCGCGTGTCCCGGCAGGGTCATCGTGGCACCAGTGTATGGAGGGAGCATTTATACTGGATATAAGTCTGTGCTCAGCTTTTAACACCACCAGGTGTTGGTATGTGACAGTTTATAAGAGGATGAGCCTATCATGTTAAGTACCAACCAGCAAGAGGAACCTGACCCTTCAGTACACACATGCACATATTCTTCAGGCACTCTCAGCTTGTGCCCCAGTAACATGAAGACTCTCTCCAGGCCTGTGCAGGGGGCCAGGGTGCTGGGGGGAGGCACAGTCTTGGCACCCTGTAGTCAGTGCTAGGACAGAGGTGTCTGCGCCAAGGAAGTCATGGAACAAACCCTTGGGACCTAGAAGGGCCAAGCGGGGGATGTGGCTCCTGATGCAGTGGGTGTGTGTTCTGGGGCTGCCATCAAAAGTCCCACAGACTGGGTGGCTTAAGCATTTGAAACCTATTCTTTCTCAGTTCTGGACGTCAGAAGTGTGAGATCAAGGCGTCGGCAGGGTTGGCTCCTGAGGGCCGTGAGAGGCCTTTCTCCTTGGCTTGTAGATGCTGTCCTCTCCCTGTGTCTCTTTACTTGGTGTTCTCCCTGTGCGCGTGTCTGTCTCCAAATCTACCCCTTTTATAGGGACACCAGGCATATCGATCAGGGACCCTTCTAATGACCTCACCTTGACTTGATTCCCTCAGTAAAGACCCTGTCTCTAGATCAGGTCACATTCTGAGTGAGGTTCTGGGAGTTGGGACATCAGTAGAGGAATTATGGGGTTAGGGAGACACATTTTGGCCCATAATACCCAGTGCTTGCTCTGCAGCTAGGCCCTGGGCTGAAAATGGGGTCCCCATCTTCACAGAGTTGAACAAAAAGGAATGACAAATAATCCTTACAAAGCCCCGTGTAGACTGGGACAGCGTGTATGAGGGAAGAGGGCCTGGTGGCATCGGCCTTGTGGGGGCCGGGCGTTCCAACTCAATGCTCCAAAGCAGGCGGGCCCAGCCTTCCTGGGTCTGCTATGGTCCCAGTTGAGGGCCGGCCCTGGAGTGTGCTACAAGGCAGATATATGTTCATGGCAAGGAGGGCAGCCAGGACTTAGGGGAGAGCCCACCACGCCCATGGAATCTCTCGGAGGATTCCCTAGGAGATCCCGAAAGAGCAGCCTGTGTCTTAACCTCATATGTACCATCAGTAAAACTCCTGGGGCGGCGACTACAGGGTCTTGTCTCACAGGCCCCTCTCCCTCCTGCCCGCAGATCGAGATTCTCAGCCCCTACGAGGCTGTGGCTGAACGCTTTAAGGAGCAGTATAAGATGTTTGCGACGGCCCTGGACACCACGAGGCATGAGCTGCCCGTGAAATCAATCCACTTGGATGGTGATGGACAGCGATTCTTAGGTAGGAAATGGGGTGTCTGCCAGGCCAGGAGCAGGAGGAACCGCCAGTGTCGGAAATTCTTGTATGCCAGGCATCTTAATCCCTGCCTGTCACCTTCATAAGCATCCTCCTAGGTAGATGGTACGACCCACACCAGATGGCAGAGGACACGGGGGGCCAGTGAGACTGCGGTTAGTCTAGGGTGCATGCTGGGATTGGGACCCAGGTCTGTGGCCTCACTATCGATTTCCCACCCTGCTGAAAAGCATTCTCGGGGAACAGCCTGTATTCTGCCTTGGTGAGGGGCTTTACACAGGTGCTTTGTTGGCTGGGGCAATGACAGAGCTGTTGACCCACCTCCGTCCTACGTTCTGTGCAGAGTCGCAGGGTCCCTTTCCTGCAGAGGGGTCCCACCTAATCCTTCACTTGAAGAAATTGGCAGGTGTGAAGAGTGCTGTGCTTCATCTTTAAATTCTCTATTACAGGCATCTTCCCGAAGCAAGTTTTCTGCTGCCCTGGAGTTTGGGTATTTCTGAGCAGAGCTCTCATGAGCCTGTAAATACGTTTGCTTGAGGCTGATGTAGTAAAACACTGCCACCTAAAATCAGGTGGACTTTCCCTCTAGAACTTTCCACAAACACAGTTCAGGATCACAAAGGGTGATGCTGAATTGGCATTCTTGGACAGAGATGATTTAAAAAAAATTTTTTAACAGCTTTATTGATATATAATTCAGATACCATACAATTCACGCATTTAATACAGCTTACTGTTTTTTAGTATATTCATAGGGATGTGTAGTCATTCCTACAATCTAATTTTAGGATATTTTTGTTTCCCCCAAAAGAAACTCAGTATCTTCCCATCACCACTCCTCTCCCAGCCCTAAGCCACTGATTAACTTCTAGACAGAGATGATTCTTAATAAAACCAAGCTTTTTCCAATGTGAGATAGTAGATGCCTGACGTAGAATCTTGAAAAATGAGCCTTATTGAATGATTCTCTGTGTCAGGGTTTCCAGCTGTATAGTTTTGCAGTTCACAGCTCGTCTGTGACTCTTGGACTCCATCTCTGATAAGTTCCTTAGATGATTGACAGGATTTGGGATTGGGGGCTATATGAATTTTGTGTGGCCGCTGTAACAAAGTACCACAAAGTGGGTGGTTTAGACAATAAAATCTTATTCCTTGCCAGTTTAAGGGGCCAGAAGGCCAAAATCAAGGTGTGGGGAGGGTTGGTTCCTTCTGGAGGTTCCGGGGAATGGGAGGTCTCCCCCAGGCTCCTCTCCCCACTTCTGGGTTTGCTGGTGACCCTTGGCCTTCCGTGGCTCCTGGCAGCATCACTCCAGTCTCTGCCTCTGTCTTTACATGACCTTGTTCCCTGAGCACCTCTGTATCTAAATTTTCTTCTTAGAAGGGCACCAGTTATTGGAATAGGCCCTACCTACCCTATGACCTCATTCTAACTCAGTTACATCTACATAGTCCCCATTTCCAGTCAGGTCACAGTCACCGATACTTGAGATTAGGACCTGAACATGTCTTTTCGGGAGGATGCAATTCAGACCCCATCAGGGGGGAAATGATGTGTATTTGTAGGAACCTGTACAAGGTTCCCAAAATATTATAATGTCTTATTGTGAAGTGTGTAGATGTGTAGCTGGTGGATGGGATGTGTGCTCGAAGCAGAGAGATACTGGCTTTCCTAGAGCAGGTGTAACACAGCACAGTTATGGGCAGCTCTCCGCAGAGGTCAGGGGTACAGAGATGCTGAAAGGGGGAGTAGAAGCCATGGGATTGTTTTAAAGTTATTCACAGCGCAGGCTTTCTCCTCCTTTTGCATTTATTTCTGTTGGAGACACTAGAGTGGCATTCCAGGTCTGTTCTCATAACTGCCTGGACAGTAGGCAGGCCTGACGCATGGATGGTCTCAGGCCGCCATGACCTTAGGCAAGGGGACATGGAGGTGGTACCAGTACGTGGATGTCTTCCTTCCCAACTCTTTCTGCCTTTGAGCTCTTCATGATTCCAGCATGACATGAGAGCGTTCCAGCAAAATAGAAAAGTCTAGTCAGCCACCCCCTCATGCTTGGGTTGCTGGGGACACCCTGAAGCCTGTGGCTGACAACTTCTTTTTTCCCCGCCAGATGA